CAAGACCGACTAGTGAAGTCGATCCGCACCGATCGAGGGGGAGAGTTCCTGAGCAAGGAGTTTGGGTTGTGGCTGAAGAAGAATGGTATTCGGCACTCCCTCACCATGCCATACTCCCCTGCAATGAACGGCATCGCCGAGCGAGCAAACCGGACGATCACGGAAGCGGCACGCGGGTTGCTCATTGACATATGCCGGGCTACCCGACTATTTCTGGCCTGATGCGGTGCGGAGCGCGTGTGTGGCCAAGAACAGAGTCTTGACTCATGTGGGAGCAGACAAATGGGTGCCCTATGTGGAGTGGCTTGGAAGGAAGCCAAAGGTGGATATGCTTTGGGTGTTCGGGTGCATGTGCATGGCGCTCGTGCCTAAGCATCTTCGGCACAACAAGCTTGGTGCCAAGGCGGTGTGGGCCGTGCACTTGGGCATGGCTCAAAACAGCAAGGGGTGGCTTCTTTGGGACCCATTCACCAAGAAGTTCTTGGTGAGCAGGGACTGCAAGTTCATGGAGAACTTCATGTACAAGGATTGGAAGGCGGAAAATGAGGCGAAGATAGGCATGCGGTTTGGAGATCTGAAGAGTTCCGGTTTGGAGCATGTGGAGCTGCCTTTGGAGCTGAGCAGCGGCAGCACCACCACAAGGCAATCTTCCCTTGTGAATGGGGGAGAGGAGGCCAAGGATGCAGAGGAAGAAGAGGAGGAGGTGCAGCAAGTGAGCGAGCGTGCACCGACACTTCCTTCCCGCACTACGAGCGCTCCACGGAACCGAGTCACACCGCAGCAACGCCAAGGCCTTCAAGTCCCTGCAGCTGAGGAGGAAGGAAGGGTCAAGAGGAAGGTTCAAGCCCCCAATAGGCTGACCTATGATGCGCCGGGAAAGCAAGGCAAGACGGCCTCGGCTGGAGCAGTAATGATGGTCGGAGACGACGAGGAGAGTGACTACGAGGAGTGTGCCTTCGCATTCTTCTCTCCGGTGGAGATGCCGGGAGAACCAGCAACTCTCAAGGAAGCCTTGGAGAGTAGTGATGCTGAGGAGTGGAAGAAGGCCATGGAGAGTGAGCTGAAGAGCATCGAGGAGAATGACACGTTCGAATTGGTGGAGCTACCGGAGGGGCGTACGGCAATTACGTCCAAGTGGCTCTTCAAGATCAAGTCGGACGCCGACGGCAAGATCGAGCGTTACAAGTCCAGGCTGGTGGCCAAGGGGTACCAGCAGAAGGAGAATGTGGACTTCAAGGAGCTGTTTGCTCCTATGGTGAAGCCGACGACGCTGCGAACCCTACTCGCGGGAGCCGCGATCAAAGGTTGGGTGGTGAAGCAGCTGGACATCGTAACGGCGTTCCTCAACGGAATCCTTGAGGAGGAGATCTTCATGGCAGCGGGAGAGTGTGGAAGCTGAAGAAGGCCCTCTATGGGCTGAAGCAGGCCCCTAGGCAGTGGTACTTGAAGCTGCGCGAAGTGTTGGAGGAGATCGGCTTCACTCCCTCAACGGCCGATCACTCCTTGTTCATGCTTGGCGAGGGGGAGCAGAGGAGCTTCATGGTGGTGTACGTGGACGACATCCTGATCTTCTCACCCTCCTCTGACCTTGTGAAGGAGGTGATGCTGAAGCTGCAAGACAAGTTCAAGTGCAAGTCCCTTGGGGACGTGAACTTCTATCTCGGGCTTCACATCGAGCGCGACGTGGAGAAGCGGTGCATGCGGGTGCACCAACGCAAGTACCTGGAAGCCTTGGCTGGCCAAGTTTGGGCAGAATGAAGGCCATGTGGCTACACCCTTTCCTTCTGGGTTCAAGTGTGTGAAGGGACCAGAGGAGGAGAGCGTGGGTGAAGAGGAGAGGCGCCGATTTCACTCGTTGGTGGGCAGCCTCATGTATGCGGCGGTCAACACACGACCGGATGTCGCGTTTGCTACCGGGCAGCTGGCAAGGGTTGTGCAATGCCCTAATGAGGAGCAGGTAGCAGCTGGAATGAGGGTGGCCAAGTATCTTGGCTTAACACCGACCGTTGGGCTGCAATACTCGGCGGCGGCACAAAGGCGCCAAAAGGGCGCGGATGGTGTGGAACCCGGGCGTTTGTTCCTCACCGCATTCTCGGATGCCTCCTATGCATCAGAACCAGAGGACATGACAAGTGTTGGAGGGTTCATATGCTGTGTTGGTGGAGGCCCAACTGCTTGGGAGAGCAAGAAGCAGGAGGACCAAGCATTGAGATCGGTGGAATCTGAGTACATGGCACTCTTCCGTGCCGTACGGGAGATTGTGTGGCAGCGGCGATTGTTTGCTGAATTGGGGGAGGAACAGCAGGTACCTACCCCACTCTATTGTGACAGCCAGGGAGCCATTGCTCTAGCCAAGAACTCCGTGTTGCATGGCCTGACGAAGCACATGAGATTGAAGTGGCATTGGACGAGGAGCATGGTGGCCGCGGGTGAAGTTGAATTGCGCTACGTGAAGACGACGGGGCAGCAGCATTGGAAGTGTTGCAAGCTGGCTGGGATGGCTCTGAACTGAGAGAGCAAGATCCTAAGGCCAACAACCCGAGGGGGAGTTTGTTGGTGCAACCCTACGGTTTGCACTCGGCTAATTGTCCGTGTGCGTGTGCGTGCATGCGTTTGTGCATAGAGTGGTACGAGTGCATGAAATAAATATATACTTCATGCTTATAATGGTGTATAAATGATGGTTCATTGATGTCGAGTGTGTGTGTCAAGTCAATAGCGAGTTATCGCTTGCCGCGGGTAACGCGGTCGTTTTGTGTGTCCCGTGCAGGTTCTATTTTGTCGTGCGCGGTTTCTATTTTGTCGCTTGTCGAACGTTCGGCGTGTCGCAGGTGTGTGCATCAGAACCACCAAGAACTCAAGGATGAGTTTTGTGATGAAGAACCGGAGCCTTGGTTCAAGCTTCAAGTGTTTTCGAAGCTCGTCAAAAGGCTACACCTCAAGATATTGAAGATGGTTACATTACAAAGTGCAGTGTAGCATTTCAGTTGGTGTAGGCCCTTGTGAAGGGTAGTTTCGAGACCCTTCTTGGTTGGGGACAGTGTGGCACTGTTCCCCATCACTGTACCTCGGCTCTTGGGGTTTGTAGGAGCTGGGAGTCATTCCCAACTCGTAACCCTTCGTAACTCTTCCTAGCTGTTCGTAATTGTGATTCCTAAGACTATGTTGCTGCCACAGTGCCATTCGTTCAAACCGATGCTGTGTCGTCAATTCTTGATGAAATCGTGCGATCTAAATTGCCTATTGTAGGCGACATTAAGACGCTCCAGATCCAAGTTGAATGAGGTCGTTTGGAGCTGTGACCAGATCGCTATGAACGTTTAAAGCCGCTGTGCAGAAATCTGACTGCGCACTCTATCTTTCGTTTTAGGCACATTGAAGCCTATTGTGACAATAACAAGTTCTACCTGCGGAACGGCATCACGTGGTCGACGGTGCGCACCTGGCAAAACCGACGACACGTTTTCTACCTGGCACCTGCGCAATGTGCCTGACGGTGAAACCGCCAACCTGCACCTACTTGGTAGGTGCGCACATCTGCGCAGATAGACAACCTGCGACTGCAGAAAGTTGCCTGCGACTGCAGATAGTCACCTGCGACTGCAGTGCTGGCAGACCGCGCGCAGTGCAACGCTGGCAGACCACTCTGCTGCAGCGTTGGCAAGCCGCTCTTCTGCTGCGCTGGCAGATTTCGCCCTTGCTAGGTGTTGCATGCCATTCTAGTCATATCCTTCTGCATGCCTCAATTGTACTCTAATCTTTCCTATCAACTTTTCATTGCATGTTGTTCTTTCAACTTCCTTAGTGGAATTCTTGCCAAACTTCTTTGTGAACATAGCAAGCAGTAAGAACGCTAGCAGAGCGCTACGATCACTCGCACAACCCCGTGCCCTCCTCCGTGGATCCACTCCCGTTGTGTAGTGACTCTCCGCAATCGCTGTAAAAATCTCGGCGGTACATTCTTGGATCGTGAGGCAGTTGTTTGATATGTGTAGAATGTTGTGCATCTACTTCTGCCAGAGCCTTGGCACCTGTGTAGAGGGATTTTCACAGCTGGCACACATGTGAGTCCCCTCTGCCGTATGTATGCGGCTGCTCCACGTAGATTACCGCATCCACCAACGCGTAGAGAAATGCGTTCTTCACGTCAATTTGACGAAGCGGTAAGTGTCTTGCGGCGGCGATGGCGAGTGGAATTCTAAAAAAGTTGTGACGGCTGACTGGCGCAAATGTTTGGTCGAAGTCAATGCCGTGTCTCTGATCGTAGCCGTGTACAACCCAACGCGCCTTGAAGCGTTCCATCGTGCCATCCGCTGCGGTCTTCACGCGGAAGACCCATTTGCTGGAGAGGATTCTTCTTCTTTTGACTGTCCGGTCGATGAGCACTCAGGTGTCGCGAGATTCGAGCGCTTTGATTTTTGCATCCATTGCCTCGCGCCACTCCTTGCTGTGGGATCCCGTGAGTGCTTGGCGCGGATCCTTTGGCTCGATGACACGTGGCGTTGTCGAGGTGGCGGTGTGAAGTCCTAGCAGCTGCAGCACTAAGACTGTTAACAGGAGTGGAATGTTGGCCCCGCCCTCGCTTGGGCAACGCCGACGACTTGGTCGGATGTATGGGAGAAGCAGCCAGCCGTTCGCAGTGAAGGAGCTGCTCGACGGGTTTCGTTGAGCTGCAGGGTGTCACTGTGGGGTTTCCGTCGACCAGGGGTGCTCGACGGGCGCAGCTGACTGGGCTGGGCGACGGGTGGGCCGTTGACCAGTAGTGCCAGTTCGACCGGGAGGTCGACGGAGCAGTCCGTCGACCTGACAAGTGAGCAGCGGTCGACGAGGGGAACTCGGCAACAACGGTTGACACTGCTAGTCGACAGAAGGGGTCCGTTGACCAGGGAGTGTTAACGGGAGTGAGTGTTGGCCCCGCCCTCGCTTGGGCAACGCCAACTACTGAGCGGCAGCACGGCGACAGCCATCCACAGGTGGACGAGGTTCGGGTAGCATGTCGCCTAGTCGGGGGAGGACAGCATGAGCTTCAGGCTGTCCGCAAACCCGACATCCTCTTGGTGCGTGGCCAGGATTGTAGAGAAGGTGACGAGCTCCCGCTGCGCTCTCGCCCAGTTGATGCCTGCGGTTGGGGTGCGCATGGGAACATTGGTATTGGTGATGTGAAAGGGTTTAAATTTGCACGTGGAAACAATGCTAAACATACAGCACATTCCCGGCATTTAACGCACCTGGTATAGTATCAGGGTCTTCTGGCTTCCGCTTGAACATGTTGCGCAGAGACTGGAGCCATTGGCCTAGCCGTCGCTCACGCTTTGCCTGGTTCTTGGGATAGGATCCCTGCTTGAACAGCTTCGCCCCGTCGAGGTGTGACAGATCCTTGAGGCGGTAGTCGAGCCGACCGACCAGGGTCGTGATGAACTCGCGCGCCAGCCCCAAACACGCTTGGTGGTCCACACCACTCGTCTGCCCCTTGATTTTCTCCTCGTGCAGTCGGTATCGATGGCTGACCGATGTGCCGTCGGAAGCAGTGTCAGCAACGAGGACCTCGCGGAACTCCCCTGATGCGTGCTTGTCGAGGAACGGGCCCAACGCGTCTCCACCCTGGCCAAACATCGCGTCATCGCAGTCGAGGTAGCGTGTGCGCAGCAGTAAGGTTGTGTTGTGCACCATCGGCAGCACATGAGTTGCCTCGACCTGTAAACGGGGTTGCACAAGCAAGACGTTTAGTAAATGGTTGTAAACAAAGTAAACGGCCACGGGTAACTCGTGAATCTGCTTACCTGACGCCGCTGAAACTTCAAGCTGAGAAGGTTGAGCTCCTTCAAGACGTCAGAAAGGAAGAACAACAGAAAATGGAACTTGTAGCTCGTTACGACTTGATACATCTTCTTGTTAGTCTCGTGCAATACCATGACTGCTGCAGGAAACACCTTCACCAGGCGCTGGATGGCGTCACCACGAGACAGCCATCGGACGTCCTTGATGCCTTGGACTTCAAGATGGGTCTCGCAGATGACCTCCTGAAGCTCTTGAAATCTGGCGTGGTTAACAGAGGAACGACCAAGGTTCTCTGCCACGGCTCGGACCACCTTGTCCACGATGTTGAAGTCAGGATGCTTGGCGGCAGCATCCTTGGCCGCCAAGGCCTCCCTGCAAGACAGCAGAAAGTAACATTAGCACGGGTATATTGAAAAATAATTGGCAGTAAACGCGAAACAACAACTCTTACCTGTGCGCGATGCAATGGGACGACACAAGATGAGGAACCTTGCCTTTCAGGCGCGCGGTGACTCCGTTGTGTTGTCCAAGCATGACAGAAGCACCATCAGTGCTCATACCGGTGAGGCGCATGAGGTCGATGCCGGTGCTCTCCAGATGCGTCAGGAGTACTGTAGTGAGTGACGCGGCGTCACACTGCTCTACACTGAGCAACGCGAAGAACTCAGTGACGGGAGCGTTGTCACGCATGAACGTCAAATAGACGATCATGTGTTTCCCCCGCCGTCGGTCGGTGCTTTCGTCCAACTGGATGCCAAGGTACGGACTGTCGCGGATGTGCTTCATCTGGCAGGACTTCAGGTAGCACACCATGGTCTCGACCAGTTGTGCAAAGCCGTACATGAGACACGCGGGGTTAAAACTCGTTAGTGTTGTAAACTCACGGACCATAAAGCAATGAATTAAAACGGGACACTTACTCGCTGTAGTACGTCCCGTTCTCCTTCAGGGGCAGATCCGGAGTCCCCTGCTCTGCCATGAACTGAACCAAAGCCACGAATAGCACAATGGGAGCGTCAGACTTGCAAATGAACAGCACAATAGCCATCAAGCGAGCAATACGCTTGACATCAGCGTCCCTCCCCCCACCCCCGCCCTCTTGACATCAGCGTCCGACATCGCGAAGGGGGTGGGGGCGAAGGGGGGGGGGGGGTGGCGAAGGGGGCGCCCTTCAGCGTCCCCCCCCCCCCCCCGCCCCACGGTGGAAGTCAGCAATGGACTTCTGCACTTTCTTCACGCCGTCGCGCTCCTCCTTCCTCAAGACCGCGGCCTCGTGTTTCAGACTGTGGTGATGCTTGCGCATCGTCTGCTTCTGGATGTCGATGCCGCCATCGCCGTTGCGCCCGTATTTGTAGTTCGGGTCACCGAAGACCATGCAGATGCTGCAGCGCATGCAGGGGCGGCCGGCCTTGTTTTCGGAGATGAGGAGCCAAGGAAAATACCGCTGCCACTGCTGCTTGCACTTCAACTGAAGCTCCTCAACCGACAGTTGCTTGCCCTTCGGGTCTTCGAAGTCTTCATTCGCGGGTTCGGGTTCTGGTTCCGCGGTTCGCAGAAGAACTGACGGTGCTGGCTGAGTCGGACCGCCCGGTCGGCCGACGGTGAGAACCCGCTGCCTATACCGCTTCTTCAGTGATCTGTCAGGTAAGACGGGGTTAGCACTGCGAGAGGTGGTAGCGACCGAAACTGGAGGGATGCTCTTATTTGCACCGTTGTCAGGCATCGGAGTGGATAATAGCGTAGTTGGGGTAGTGGTTGCTGGCACGTGTTGATCGCCATTTTCCGAGTTGGCAAAGGTACCGCACCAGAGGTCGACGCAATCGGAGGGGCAGCAGAAGCGATCTGCTTGCCTCGCGTTAGGAAGTCTAGGGCGGAAAGCACGGGCTCCCCATCGCACGGTCCGCCGGCGGGGACGGCCATAGTCTAAACGCTGGGAAGCGTCACGCTGGGAAATCAGACACTGGGAGGGATAGGATCCATGCTCGGCTGGGTGAGAGGTGAGGATGAGCAGGAGAAACAGGCTTGTTTTCAAGCCAGACCCAGCTGCATGAAACCCCATCACCGTGCACTGCACTCGGAACCGAAAGGCGGTGCGCGTTGGGAGCGGAGGGCACTACGACCACAGTGCTGTGTTGCGTGACGTCTAGGAAATGCAAATGCGCTGGCACAACGGGACAGCGCGTTGCCGTGGCTGTGCCTGGCGTCGGCGCCGACAGCCAGCCAAACGACAAACGCCTGGCAGCATATGCCGCAGTTACATGCCAGCGATGCGGCTACAAGGCAGTTACAAGGCTGTATAAGACACGCGTATTGAATGCGTGTGCAGTTACAGGGCAGCAAATGGCTGTACCTGTGGTGGTCCTATCCTCTGGTCCACTGGGCCTATGGCCTAGTGGGTTAAACTGTCGGTTTCAGACGAAACCGAACTCGATATCTGTGTACTCAGATTAAAAATTCTACACGTCTGGAAAAATCATACGAACCTAAAAGTCAAATCTTGCTGATCATATGAGAACAAACACAAAATCTTAGGATTAAGATGAATACAAAAAAACAAGTCTTAAACGCAGACCATCAGACCAAATTGGTCTGATAACGAGAACCCTGGACGGGACTATGAGAGGAGAGGAGATAGTGTCAATCAAACATATATATAATATGTTAGGGTGTAGGCTGTAGTGGGGTAGTTCTTATAGGGTACAACACATTTCTAGGTTTTGTACTTGTACCCTTTTCTCTCGATAGTCGATCATCCCTATCAACCTACTCTAACATGGTATTAAGAGCACTTAGGTCTTAGGACGTAATTTCCTAGTGGGCCCACCGTTAACTCTCATATTTTAGGGTTTCCCCTGCCTGTCGAGCTACCCCACCCGTCGCGCCGCCCTGCTGGCCGCGCGACGCGCGTTTATTTTTTTTTTTTTCCTTTTTTTCTCGTCACGCCGCCCTAGGGCCCGGCCCCGCCCGTCGCGTCGCCTTAGGGCCTTCGCGCCGCCCCCGGGAGCCAGTCGCGCTGCCCTGCTGGCAACGCGCGACCCTGCCTGGCCAGTCGCGCACCTGTAGGGCCCGCGAGCTGCCCTTCCCTGCACGCCTCGCCGCCCCTTTTTGGCAGTGCGCGGCTCGACCCCGCGCATCATTGGCCTCTCTCTCCCCCTTCCCCTCTCCCTGTTCCCCTCTTCCTCTTCCAACACACCTGCTCGTGCAGACACGTGTAAGATGTGTGAGCGCCACGTGCAGCAAGGATGCTGCTGGCGCCGCGATCTGTACTTGCTACCCTGACTTCGCCTTACAGCTCGACGGCCACACATGCATAGGTACGTGCTGCACGTGCTTGGGTGCCACTGCCCTGAGAAGCTGCTGCTTGGCTGTGCTGTGTGCCGTGCTTGCTGTGCTATGTGCCATGCTTGGCTGTGCTGTGTGCCGTGCTTGTAGTGTTTGTTCGTATTCACCTACCTCCTGTGACTTGCTCGATTCAATCCGACCCTCCTTGCAGACCTATGTGTGATCGCTGACTGCGAGGCCCACGATGCCAACTCTCATTGCGTCAAGACCAACGGTGTTGCATCCTGCCCGTGCAATACCGGATACGCTATGGATGCAGGCGTTTGCACTGGTACGATTGCTCGGCTCAGTCTAGCTTGTGTGCACCCAGCTTGTGTGCGCCCATCTTGTGCACTGTAATGCATTAGTATGTTTGCTGGTTGTGCTTTCGTGGCATGCACTTTATTCTGTGGCTGTCTGTTTGTTAATGTATGTGTGTGTGTGTGTGTGTGTGTGTGTGTGTGTGGTGTGTGTGTGTGTGGTGTTAGAGTGTGTGTGTTAGCATGTGTGCGTGCGTACATGCACGCGCGTGTGGATGTTCTGTCAAGCTACCTCTAGTTGACTCCTTCCACACTTGGACCCTCTCTCCTACACCTCCCACCACTTCTTTCTCCCCACCCAGACACCTGCAAGATTCAGAACTGTGGTGTGAACGGCGAGTGCAAGAAGGATGCTGAGGGCGCGGCTTACTGTGAATGCAACATTGGCTTTAAGCTGCAGAAGGATAACAGGACTTGCCTTGGTATGTTTCTTGTAATATATGTGTACCTTCCACCCGTGATGCTGATGTTGTTTGCTTTTATGCCTCCTACTATATGCGGGTTCTGTTTTGCCATTGGTGTTGGATTCTTTTAGAATCTTCGCACCGTAACTTCTCGTGACATCATCATTTGCCTCTGCCCCTCCCATCAGATGTGTGCATCATCAAGAACTGTGAAGGCTTGGACGCCAATTCCCATTGTGTCAAGAATGGGAACGAAGCGACCTGCCCGTGCAATCTTGGATTCGCCCCGTTTGAGGGCCAATGCACTGGTAAGCTTGCCTGTTGTGCTCTCATAACGCGCACTTCAGTCTGTGGCTGCCTGCCCGTCAGTTGTGCGCGCGCGCGCATGTGCGTGTGTGTGTGTTCCGTCAAGCTACCTCTTGTTGAATCCTTTCCACCCTTGGGCCCTCTCTCCCCCACCCCTCACCCACCTCTTCCTTCTCCCCGCCCAGACACCTGCAAGATTCAGAACTGTGGTGAGAACGGCCAGTGCAAGAAGGACGCCGAGGGGGCGGCTTACTGTGAATGCAACATTGGCTTTAAGCAGCAGAAGGATAACAAGACTTGCCTTGGTATGTTCCGTGTATTAAGTGTGTGCCTTCCGCACGTGATGCTATGTGCTTACATGCCTCCTTTGCTACATGCGATGCTGCTTGGTATTGCCAAACTCTTAAAAATCTCTGCACCTTAACTTCTGGTTACACATTCACTTGCCTCCGCCCCTGCCATCAGATGTGTGCATCATCAAGAACTGTGAAGGCTCAGACGTCAATTCCCACTGTGTCAAGGATGGGAACGAAGCGACCTG